CAGAAGTCTCTTCTGCTTCTTCCCAACAACACTTTCATCCTAATCCTGAAAGGGAGTTTACAGCTTGCCAGAAAATTTGGTGAACATGCTCATTCTTCTAGTTTCAAAATGACCTTGGTTTTAAAATCTTAATAATTTTTGATCTAATTATAGCTGTTAACTTAGTCTACTTATTCCATGGCAAATACAGAGGAGTTGAGAGAGTGCAAAAATAGGAACATCAAATTATTCACTGAAATTTTTTTTTCCTAATTTTTAAAAGATGTTCAGAAATTGTATTAATATGAATTGTAACAACAGTTAAAGATTTCCAGTTGGGTAATTTTTTTCTTGCTCTATAATTTGGGTGTTTTGTATTTCTGCATATGTGCTCAAGTCGAACAGTTGTCTTAACCATCTCCACCATTCCCCATTGTTGACAAGCAAACTAAAGTTAGAAACAGCTGCATGAACAATGATACCACACTAAGCAACCATGGCACTCAGTTCCTTTAAAAATATGACCCCAAGTTATGTGGGGATTAGATGGGAAGTTAAGTTTTCATATTGGAATGTGCAGGTAAGAAAAATAGATACTGCTAATTTTTTTAGTTGCTGGAGGTATCTCTCCATGCTGTTTGCCACATGTACCTCAAAAGTACTGAGTTTGAATTGGTTAAGGCAGAATGGTTTAGATTTTGAATGTATTTCCAGTGGTACCAAAAGAGAAAAGTGCCAGCACCTTTGGCAAGGGAGCTCGAGTGTCAGAAAGAGGCTGATCCCATTTCACATACCCATAGTGTCATGAACATTCTTCAGCCTTATGAATCATGTTCAGTGGAAGTGCATACATTCTGAAGCAAACAGAAATAAAGTCACACTTATCCATTATCAGTCTTAAATTTCTTTTCTTTTTCTTTTTTGTATTGAGGATTTAACCTAGTGGTGCTTTACCACTGAGCTACATTCCTAGTCCTTTTTATTTTTTTTATTTTGAAAGAGAGTCTTGTAAGTTGCTGAAGGTCCAATAATTTGCGGAGGCTGACCTCAAATTTGTAATCCCCCTACTTCAGTCTCCCGAGTCGCTGGAATTACAGATGCATGTCACCCCACTCAGCCAGTCTTAAATTTCTTAATATAAAGTTTATTTGAAATCTCATGGTTTAGGATTAGAGTGTTAAGGCTTAGTCTTTCTCCATTCCTCATATAATTTTCTATTAGCTGTTAAACCTTCTCATTTAAACAAGCATCTCTGTTCAGGTGCCAACTGCCATGACCATCACAGCTGTTAATTCAGGATCCAGAGAGGGGTGATGGGGGATGAAGAAAAGACAAATAGACACACATAGAGAAAAAGCTGGGGCCAGGTGGGCAGCCAAACCCTGTTGGAGTTTGACTGACCCAGAGCTAGCTCAGCATGTTTATTATGTAAGTTTCATCAAAAGGTTATTTTTGGAAAAGTTTTAGCAAAGCAGGAAATCTAAAGGATGCAGGACTGGCAAGACATTAGGGTCATCTTATTATGTTCAAAATCCTCTATCTCCAGGAGTTGATGTCTGAACTCAAGGCCTCAACTGATAACTGCCGCTGTGCCTTTGTACATAGCTTCCCTGGGCTGGTGTCAGCATAGCAACTGGGCCATCTTGACCTGCACCTCTACATAGGCATTTCCCAGTGCAACACTGCCATGGGGAAATCAGATCATGTTTCAAATCACCACTCTCCACATCTCCCTCCTTTTAATTTTTTAAATGTAACTAAGATATGACTATTTTTAAGTGTTGGAATTTTTCCCTCTGGGTAAGGGAACCCTCAGTGCTGTAAGGAGAAATAAGTGATGACTGCTCTGGCTGCTTCAGGCTGAGAGGGGGCGACACAGGGCAAGCAGTTTGGGTTTCCCCCTCAGGAATGCTTTGGTCAGTCCAGAGCTCTGTGGCAAGAGTCTGATTTGGAAAAAACAGGTTGTAAAGTCATCTGGGAGGTGAGTGCTTCTATGAAAGAAACAAGAAGACATGTGAGTACTAGAATGAGATTAATGCAAAATCATGAATATGATGATGACAATAGAGATGAGCAATTTTTTATTTTTTATTCTACCAGGAGGTATGATCTTAACGGATAAGACCAGATTAATGTATTTAATAAATCCTTATTATTTTAACACATAGAAAATTAAACTTTGGTTTATATCAGTACATTAATTTTTTTTTTTTTGGTAGGGGTGTTTACTAGGGATTGAACTCAAGGACGCTTGGCCACTGAGCCATACCCCCAGCCCTATTTTGTATTTTATTTAGAGACAGGGTCTCACTTAGTTGCTTAGTGCCTTGCCATTGTGAGGCTAGCTTTGAACTCTCCATCTTCCTGCCTCAGCCTACTGTGCCTCTGGGATTATAAGCATGTGCCACTGCATCTGGCATTACATTAATATTTGATCTTTAAAAAAAAACAACCCTTGAATAATTTTAACTAATTGTGCTAAAATTATATATAACTAAATTTAATTACACACAAACTTTTAAAAAGTGCTTAATTGTGGGACGCCATTCTCACACGTGATCGGGTGCCTCCCGTTGAGGGTCTGAGGCACTTTGGCAAATGTCGAAGTTTTTCCCGTCCCTCTCCTGATGAGAGAGCCCATCCGTGTGGGGGTGTGCCTGACCACTGACCCCGGGGACCCAATCGCTGACCCTGACCTTGGAGTGCAGCCCCCCCTCAACCTTCATTGGATGGAATTCTCCCCTGAATCTCTGGTTCCCTAATAAAAGGCTACTCCCCGGCGTGCTCGCTCTCTCTCTCCTGCTAGCCCTGAGTAATCCTTGCTGCCCTGCTGGGCGGCTAGAGGAGCGAACCAGAGAGGGGAGCCGTCTCGGACCTAGCAATAGAATTAAGGTAATTGAGTCTTGTGTTTTTATTTCGATCTCGTCTAACTAACTTTATGCCTAGAACCTCATTAATGAAACCACTGCGCAGGCCGCGTGGTAGACTTAATGGTTTTCATGTTAATGACCCAGCCCCTCTTCCTTCCTCTAGACTGAAGTGTATAAAATATGTCATGTTTCAGTAAAGAAAAATAAGATACAAAATTTTATTTTCCATGGATAAATGTTAGTGATATATTTTCCCCCTTATTCTACCTTTGATAAAATATGCATGAAAACAAAATTTATCATCTTAACCATTTAATGTGCATAGTTCAGTGCTATTTAGTACATTCACACCATTGTGAATCTATCAGCACTGTCTGCATGTCTGCAGAACTTTTTTTTTTTTTTTTTAACCATTTCAAACAGAAACTCTGGTCATGAAACAATAACTCACCACTGGGATATGTTTTTTAAAACAAGAATTCCTGGCTTGCTCAGAGGTGGTATTATTATACTTATAGTTGTAGATTATAGCCTTATGGGGAAAAAGTTCCTGCCTAAGGTTTATCTGAATATTAAAGATATAGCTCCTTTACATCTCAGACTCATAAAACTGACCTCATCCTTTCCTGCTAAAATCAAACATGTGTACATTGAAACATCAAATGTCACAGTATGTAAATATTTATTGGCACAAATATGCTAATTTATTATAATATTCTTGTAAATCATTTTCTGAGTTCTGATAAATTGTTTCCAATTTTTGAATTTATGGCTCTTTTGACTCCTTCTAAACATTACTGATTTATCAATTAAAATGCTCTATGTGGTCTCTGTTCTTGGTTTAGTTATAGTTTCAAGCTAATGCACAACAATTGCATTACCATATAAAATAAATAATACTGATTAAGCATAAGTATGACACATGCAAAATTACATGAATATAATAATTTCTGTGTACACAAGTCTGCTAAGGCTTTGCAGACAATTGTCTCCAAGAAGTGTTAAATATAAGGTCAAGGCTTTATTTTCAAATATGCAGAATTTGAAATAAGCATTTTGAGAAAGCATGCATTTTCTAGAGCAGATACATTTTTCTGCATTATGAATCTAAAATCTCACCTGGTGCACAGCTTTTATTCCCTCTCAAATAAATTATTTGCTGTCATTGCAAAGAATTTTAATGTTTTTCTGACTTTTCTCATCATAGCTCAAATTTATCAACCATGACATTGTTCACTCTTGCTGTTAAATGACTCCGTATCATCTTGAGGTTAATGTTTTCTCTGTATTTCTCTTTGCTGATAACACAAGGAGAGAGTTGCCTGTCAATATCCTCATCCTTCTTGAATATAGAGAAGGGACAGAAAGTGATGTGTCTAATAGAACTGAACTGCTTAGAATTCTGGTGCAATGGTAAAGTCAAGCTATCATCATCTGTACCCTGTTCTCTGAGCAGAGACATGTCCTCAGGTTAGCATTGCCACCATTGGCAATGACTCTCATTTTATTTATTTATTTTATTTATTGTTTTTGAAGCACATCTGAAGTTAACGACCTATGTCTAAGAAGTGAACTCCTTTGAAAATGACTCAGGAAAAATATTTTTTAACTGGGCAAATAAAACTGTCCTATCAGATCTTCTTTTTCACTCCAAGGTGGTCTCAATGTCACCACTTCATGGTCCTCTTCAACCTGAATAGCTCCTTGGAGCTTAGTACATTTAAATGTGATGGCTGCAAGAGAACATTGGGAGGTGGAAGAATCGGGAACAAATATTAGCACAGAGAACAGAATGAATAGGATAAATGATACCAAATAAATAAAAATAAGAAAATCAAAGTTGGTGAAAGCCTTTGCACAATATGTTAGAAACTGTCTTTCTTGGGGACCAATGGGATATTCTATAATTTTAAATCCTAATAATTACAAATCAAAATGTATTAAGAACAACTGATGACTACTCATATTGGGGGATATATTTAAATTCACACTACATATCCACCTACCTGATTTGTTAGATTTCTATTGAAAATTAACTGAATACATTTTGAAGGTTATACATATTTTGAAGTGTTTAGATATCTTGACTTATCATAAATGAATATAAGTTTTCTTATTTTAAGAATTCTGTTTCTTTTTATTGAACTGTAGCTCAAAGAGTCTTTCAAAGATATCAAAAAGAAATTCAACAATTTGAAGTTTAACTACACTAAGAAAAATGAAAAAGCTCGAAATCTGAAGGCTCTTAAATATCAAATACAACAAGTTGATATGTATGTTGAAAAAATGCAGGTAACGAAAAAGTGTTTGTGTGTTTGTGTGTGTTTATGTGTGAGTGTACTACAATGATTGCAAAATCATTTAGTACTTTATATCAAGATGCCTCTTGGGGTTTTTTGGATCAAAAAGATCATTTTCCATTTTTATAACATTTGGGTTTCTTGTGTAAAATAAGTAATAAATTAATTTATTTCTCCTTTTCTTTTCAAAAATAGTAATTTTATCTCTATAGTCCAGAGTCTGCCTTCCTGAATTTTTTTTTTGGTTGGTTTTGGTGTTCAGCAAAATGGTGCCAATTTTAAGTGGACTCACCTGCAGTCACAGTATCATCCTGTCCTTGGTAACAGCATGCCACCCTTAGTGGGAGTTCTATCATCTAAAGTCAAGTGTTGCTTTTACTACTTTTTAAAATATTGCTTATGAGAGCCAGATTTTAAATTTTTTATTAGTTTTTTTTAATTTAAAGTTTTTAAAACTGATCCATAAAACATAAAAATTATACATACTTATATATATTTATGTGGGGATAGGTGCTGTTTTAATACATGTGCACATTGTGTAATGTTTAAATCAGGTAAAATGTATCTGTCTCCTCAAACACTTATCATTTTATATTTATGATGAAAACTTTCAAAATTTCTTCTTCTAGCTTTCTGGAATATGCAATTCATGATTGTTCTCTGTAGTCATCCAACTCTGCACCAAAACACCAGCGCTTCCTTTCCTGTCTGACTGTAACTTAGTACCCATTGATGGACATTGAGATTTATCTTTTGAGGCAGCTTCAGAATGATTTCTACCAAACCTACCCTCATGTCAACCTCTGTTCTTCTCCCCAAGACATATGTACCCTGTAAGCCTCCACTTACTTTCCTTGCACCATTCTGTATCAGCAGCTTCCTTTAAGGCTCTCCTAGTCCCTTGATGACCACATGAATGGTGAATGCTCTTTTCAGGAGACAGTGAGCTTATTAAGAACAAGTATTTGATTTTCATTTTATGATCACTCTCTTTTTCTAAAATTCCTACTAATATTTTCAAAATCTATAATCAACCCTTCTAAATTTTTTATATATTTGCTGAATACTGGATCAATAAAATATTTGGAATAAAACCTATTATTTCCAAAATACATTTGTAATAACTGTGATTTTAACATATCAGAATTGTGGAAGTTACAAAAATTTGTCCTAATTGTCTTGGTATTTTATTGCTACCCTTCATAAATCATATCTGATTTTTTAAATGTTTTTTTGCACAGGTTTTGAGAAAGAAAATGGAAAAAGTTAATAATAAAACTTGTGATTCTTTCTTAAATTATCCAAGTAATAAAGTTAATGTCCTTTTGGAAGCCATGAAGGATTTGCAGAAACATGTGGAGGACTTTGAGAAAGTTGTCACAGATTACAAAGTAAATCTGGACCTGACTGAGCATCTCCAAGAAGTAATAGAAGAGGTATCATCTTAGTGTTGTGATGGTATCCTTGTTTTAATGTTTAAAGAAATTATTTTGCTACTTTAAAACAATGCTACATTAGATATTATTGTCATTACATCCCTGAATCATACTTCTTTTCATGATAGTGTCGTTGGGATAATTTCTTGAAGTAGAATCACTAGATCAAAGGGGATGGCTGTTGTAAGGCTTTTGATTGTATTATCCAATTGCTCTTCAGAAAGCTTTTACTAATTTACCCTTGCCAGAAACACAAGAGTACACATTTCTCTATAACCTCATCGACCCAGGATGTTTAACCATTGTGGAATTATGTTCACTGCTGGATAGCAGTTTAAAATACTTATAATGGCTTATTTGTCTCACAGATTTTGAAAATATTTAGAAAAAAAGTGATACTGACATTTTTCAGGTGCAAAATTTTGTTATTCATGTAATTTTTATTATTGTCAAGAGAATTAATGGTGGTCTACACAAAAGGCATGAAGTTTGACAAGTTATTATTTCACACTTCATACTGAAGAAACTACACTTGAAGCTCTTGAGTATTCTTTGTTGCCTATTATTCTGAGATAAAGAATATCTTTCTTTACCACTAATACATTGAGTTTTTAGATTTAACACTACATTAAGGAGGATTAAGATGATTATTCTTCTATATCTGATGTATGGGTTTGCTGCAGCTCCATGGCACTTATTTAAAACCAGCTTATAAGAGAGTTGTGTGTTGCTATTTCTCTCCCAGCATAAGTGCCTCTGGCCTGGGTCAAATGTTCCTCCCGTCACTATTATTCATTTTTAGTGAAAAACTGTTTCAATTCTCCACTGTGCTTTGAAAATATAACTATCTTCTATTTTTAAAAGGTAAAATGCTATCCTTTGGATGGCATTTCCTCCATCCATAATCTAAATACCATTCTTAAAAGATAATATATTTATTGCAATATTAAACAGGCAATATTTTACCTGTGGATTGCTAATGATATTACTTTATTATGCTGGATTTTGAATGTTTGGGCTATTTCCTTTCCTCATAGCTGATGTTTGGATTCTTTTTAGTGCCAAATGTTTTTCATGACTCTTGTTCTTGAGTCTGCAACATTCCTCTTAGGAATTATTTTTTTAGACAAACCTAAGAAGGCAGGAGAATCAAAGGTGTTTCTATTTTTTCGGTTTTTAATTTTATTTTCATAGTATGCTTTCTTTATTTCTGCCTTTAGTATCTACGTGAAAAATTATAGTGTTTTGGTATTTTCTTTAATATGACTTAAAAAGTTCAAACCCATGTGACCACAAAGTTTGAGGAAATTCAAATATTATGCTTCACTGGTGAATATTAAGAACTTTTGAAGGATGACATCTCTTTAATCTGTGCTTTAACCCATTTTAATTTAGTGTCACTTTTGGTATGAAGATGCAAGTGCCACCGTTGTAAGAGTTGGGAAATATTCCATGGAGTGCAAGACAAAGGAAGCCGTGGAAATTCTCCACCAGCAGTTCAACAAGTTCATTGCACCCTCAGTGCCTCAGCAAGAGGAAAGGATTCAGGAAGTCACAAACCTTGCTCAGCGCTTATATGGTAAGTTCTCTCTTAAGCAATGCAGTGATTTGCCAACAAACCAATCTGTACTGAACCTTATCTAGCACGAAGGAGGGAAGGCAAGCCTTCAGGGTCCTCCGGTTCAAAATTATTCAGAGGAAAGACTCATGATTAGAGCCCATATCCAGCAAAACAAACAGCAGGGAATGGAGGGAGGGATTCCTGACAGCAAGAGATGGAGCCTCCTGATTTTTAGCTACCAGAAAGAGATATAAACTCTCCTTCTCTATTGGCTGTTCTCCTCTATTCCTCTTATTCATCTCCAGGGAAATAAAACCAGAACAACTCAACTTATACACACATACAAGTGCGTACACACACACACAGCAACAACAACAAATCTAATTTCTACTAGAGTAATTCCTTGAACAACATACAAAATACTTATGAATAATAAGTATGAATAATACTCATTCATAAAGCTAAGACTGAGGTCTATAACCCTCTGGTTTCTATGAAGGTTTTGGTTCACAGATTTGAGAAATAGCTGGAAAATCCTCCCTTATCTACCTCTCACTTGTGCAATAAATGCAAGAACTCTGATTTTTATCTTAAAATTTCTGCTTTTGTCTACCTCCATCGTTAGGAAAGGTAATATTGTTGCCAGCCTGAAAAGTCCTTCTTCCTAAAAGCCGTCTCCAATAAAGAAGTCCCTAGGTGGTGACAATGTTCCAGGACTTTTCCATGCATTTTCTGATGTTCTTGTGAGATCAAAAGTTATTCCCAGAGACCAGACAAATGCAGCCTAGAAGAGAGACAGCAATAGGTGGTAAAAAATACTTCTTCTGGCTTCCCACATCTGCCACCAGATAGATAGTCTTATAACATGAAGCACTACCCATGCATAGCCACATCTCCATCCCTATTTTGTAATTTATTTAGAGACAGAGTCTCACTGAGTTGCTAAGCGCCTCACTTTTGCTGAGATATCTACTATGTAAAAGGGGATGTGGTTGATAAAAAGATAACTTAGACATAGTTGAACTCAAAATCCTTTTGCCTCAGCTTCCTGAGTTGCTGGGATTACAGGTGTGCACCACCATGCCCAGCTTTGGTTGTGGGATTTTTGAGGGAAGAATTGCTGGCTCATTTTGGCCAGAGATGAAATATGTCAGATAATTGCGGTAACATTCGGGAGAGGCAGGTTGAAACCAGATTGTGAAAGGCCTTGAGCATCATCCTCAGGGATTTGTACTAGGCAGTGGAGAATCACTGAATGTTCTAAATAGGAGAAACTAATTAGAACTGAGTTTTAAGAATATAGCAACATGATTTAGGTTAAGTTGTATAAGAGTAACATCGTATAGCAAATGTTATCATTTTCCTGGAATGCTTGATTTTTTTAAAAAAATGCCTTCATTCATTTGTTTATTTGTTGAGCAAGTATCAACTTTTTATTGGTATTTGTTCTTTTTAGTTACATATGACAGTAGAATCCATTTTAACATATTTATATTTATACATGCATGGAATATATATAATTCTAATTAGGATCCCAATCTTGTGGATGTAGGTGATGTTGAGATTTACTGTGGTAAATGCACATATGTTCACAGGAAAGTTATATCAGAGTCATTCCACTGTCTTTCCTATTCCCATCCCCCTGGCAAGTATCCTATTAAAAACTTACTATTACTGTGTGCAGTGGGCACACATCTAATACCACCAGCTCAGGAGACTGAGGTGGAAGGATTACAAGTTCAAAGCCAGCCTCAGCAATTTATTAAGACCCCATCTCAAAATAAACAATAAAAAGGGCTGAGGATGTGGCTCAGTGTTTAAGTACTCCTGGCTTCAAACCCTGGTACAAAAAAGAAAAGAAAACACCGCTACCACTACCCACCACCATCACCACCACCACCAACAAAAAACCCTTACTGTCTACCAATACTTAGCAATAGACACTTAGGAGATGAATGAATGTCTGGGCTTTTAAAAAATGTTCCTGCTAAGGATTTGACCTTTAAAAATAGTTTTATCCTTTCTCCTTCTCAGGTTTGGAAGAAGGACAAAAATATGCTGAGAAAGTTGTGGCAAAACACAAAGAGGTTCTTGAATCTATCACTGAATTATGTGGGTCTCTCATGGAGCTCAAAGAAAAGCTGAAGGTAATCTCTTCTTCCCAGAATATGTACTTTCAAGTGATATAAATAAAAACGTGTTGATCAAGTGTCTTCTGGTGTGAAGATGTTCTAATAGAAATTCTCAAGAGACATAGCATACACATTTGTTTCACAGCATTCTAACATAATTATTGAGGTGTTGCTGATAATTAATTCTGTTTCTTTCCCATCACTGCAGAGTAAAGTATTGCTGGGAATGAAGGCTAATTACAATTAAGATGTCTCGTTTACATTTTCATGGATCATATCCTAAAGGATAAATGTGTACCACTAAAGCCACAGTAAAGACTGTATTAAGTGGCCTTCTGTTTGTGTTCATAAATAATAGACATTAGGCTTTTTTCCCCTTTCAAATTGTGGCACCAGAGAAAATAAAGCCAATATCCTGGTATTATGTTCATTGAACGTTTAGCTTCATGGAAATATTAATCTTTTCACCTTACATGAAATAAAAACCTTTATAGTAAAAAAAAAAACAGAGTAAATGCTTATGTACTATATATAGGCAGAAAACCATTTAAAAGAAAAATACATGCGTTACTTTACCTATGTTACATCAAAAACTGGTTTAACACTGTTTTTACAATTGACTGAAAGAATTGGCTATATAGAATATGAAGAATAGCAAGGTAATTAAGAGTATAGAGTAAAAAAAGCTGCCTTGGAATAACAACCCCTCAAATTACTTCATTTGCAAACTTGGGTCATGAATTAGGTAAATTCTTTAATCTCCACCAGTGTCAGTTTCCTGGTCTACTACGTGGCTTACAGGATTGAATGTGAAAATACTCAATATTATTGTTGTACTTAGAATTATTACTGAGGTTTTTTAGTTCAGCATAGAATTTTGTTTTTCTGCATGAATTTCTTTGTCATAAATTTGAGTGCCTTATTCATTCAAAGAATTCGTGAGACTAATTCAGTGTGTACCCAGCCAAATTATCTTTTTCTAGATTTTTCATCATTTTAACTAACACTACAATGAACATCTTTGTGCACACTGTTCTCCAAAGCAGATTTGGGATAATGAGTCTGAAATTGTTAATGTTCCTAATATGTATGCCAAATTGCTTTTCATAGATGTTTTATGATTATAACACCACCAGCAGTGAGTGAAAGAACCATGTGCCTTAGTTATCCTTTTCAACATTTATCATTTCTTCCTCATCTCCACCTGCCCCTTGAGGATCTCCTGCTCCTATCTTTCCTTACACAGGCTGAAAATCCCTGCTTCCTCTGTCTCTTCGCTTCCATTATTTACAATATCCTTCACAATTATGTGTACTTCTTCAACTTAATGGTATTTACTCTCTCCAAGTGGTCTTCCTTTACAGCTTCTGGCCTTCCTGACTGTTCTTCCTGAAGGACCACAGCCTGGCCCCCTTCCTCATTCCTGTTCCTTTGATACTTCTTGTTGTCAGGAGTGTGTCCTCTTTCTCATTTTAAGCTCATCACTTGTATTCTCTTTTTGGCCAGTCAGGAGTCCCCTAACTATATACTCACCGAGATTACCCTGCCTAAGTAGAGTTCCTCTCCGGTCATTGCTGCTTCAGAACCCTTTCCTACATTCTACCTTGCTTACCAAGAAAAGTTCAGTCTTAAGTCTTTCCAGTGTTCTGAGACTTTCCAAGATCTTGCTACGCTTCTGCATTCATTATAGGTTTCTGTCCCACTAGTCCATGACTCTACACTCCCTGGTGTCTTCTAAACCATTACTTCAAGTACATGACCTTCTGATTCTGTTTATCAAAATCTTACCATCTCTCAAAGCCAAAGCCAAATAACATCTTTTCCACAAATCCTGCTTTGTCTCTCTTTGATCTTCCACAGCACTTGTATTCTTTTCTACCTGTCCCATTCTGTTTCCACTGCTATAGAAAATACCATAGAGCAAGTAGCTTATAAACAACAGAAAATTATTTCTTACAGTTCTGGAGGTTGGGAAGTCCAAAATCAAGACACTGGTAAGTTTGGTGGCTAATAGGGCACCATTTCCTCATAGTCAGTCATCTCTGCACTCTCACATCACTTGGTGGGAGGGTAAAGGGTCTCTCTCAGATCACAAGGGCTCCACCCTTATCACCTTACCACCTTCCAAAGGCTCCACCTTCTAATACCATCACCTTGGGATGAAGACTTTAAAATGAATTTTGAAGGGATATCAACTTTCAGACAATGATCACATCAGTATTATCACATAGCACTACTCCTGCTACCATCCCTCTTGACTATAATAAAGGAAAACCTCAGTTTAGAGTCCCACATGACATTTAATACTATGCTTTGCCTTTCAAAGCAAGTTCTTCAGAAAGAGTATTGACATTTATAATTAATGCCCAAAGGACTAGTACAAAGAAGAAAGAACCATTCAGTAGATACTAAAGGCTGAATGTGGGTGGCTGAATACAGAAATGAGAAGAAGTCTTTTCAGCAAGAGAGTTATCAGTATTAGTCTTATGAGTTATAGCCTCATAAAAGCTTCTCAAAGAATGTTTACTAATTCTTTACAGATGTCTATATGGAAAGCATAATTGTCCAGTTTCTGTTTTTCAGACAATAATGAAAAGAGGGTTATTACAAAATGGACCCAGAAATCCTTGTTAAGGCTAATATAATGAAAAAAAAATATTTCTGTTTGTAGAGGAATTTGAGATTTTAAAAGGACTTTCATATATTTTATCCCCAGTGATTTCCAAAAAACCTTGAGTAAGACAAGAAGGCAGATATTTCTCTCCTTGCTTTAAAAGCAATGGGACAGGTCCAAAGAAGGGAAAGGTGCTTTCCTTGGAACCCCACAGTTGGGAATGGTAGATCTGGAATTTGATCTTAGATCTCTCACAACAGCTGCCATTATGGAATTAGATGCCAAATGTGTACTGAGGCAGAGTGACTCACCCAGTAATACACACCAGTTTAGTTTTAGAGTTGAGACAAAAAGTTGAATCTACCTGCAGGTCTCCATGAATCTCATGAGCCAGGACAGCAGGTGAACTTTGATGAGTAGCTTATTTCCTTAAGGGCCATCCAATGTCCATGATCTACCTGGAATAGAGACTTTTCTATTGCAGTATAATCATCATCCAGAGCCAATATTCTATCATTTGGGGTACCAAGTGGCTCTATTTATCTTCACAAAATCTTCTTGGTCCTCACATTGGTTCCATATTAGTTTGCAAATCCCCACTACCTCCATGACTAAGCTGATTCCCATGAAATGTAGGAAGGAGATATCATCACTTTGAGGCATTCTGTGTTCTCCATTGTTTTTTTCCTTTTCTATATTCAGTGATAGTCAAGTCTTCCAGTTTGCTTGTGTAGATTCTCTGAATTTTCTACTTTCTTCTCCACCAGAGACCTTTTATCATTTCTACCTCATTGCTGCTCCCCAGCGTCTCCTAATGGTTTAAACTGCCACACACAGTGAATTCTGGTCTCTAGAGAAAGCTCCTGCAAGAGTATCCTATTGTAACAATTACTTCTTTTCCTGCTGGGCCTTTGAACAATTTTTTTTTCCTGGCAGTGGACTTTATGAAAGGAATGAGGCAGGCAGGGGATTGTGAGCTTGGAGGGATAATTTTATTAATCACATGATGGGTGGGACATTGGTCGCAGGTGGAATACATTTGCTGAAAGGCCACATACATGTGGCTTCTGTTTTTCTTGCAAGTGTTAAAGAATGACATTGTTCCTCTGACTTTCCTTGGCCCAGTCCCTCACTAACCATTGCTTTGTACAGCAGGGTGATGCTGTAAAGATGAATTCCAATCTGGAGGATTTCCATGACAATGGCATTGACCTACTAAAGGAACCAATGAGAAATAAACAGATGATATTTAATGAAGAGAGAAATAAGGTAAAGAGAACTACTTAGCCTCAGCTATTCATTACTTTTTTGATATTATTAATTGCATATTTTTAAAAAAGTAAATTGAAGACTTCTTATCTATTGAGATAAAATTTTTAATGTAAGTTTAGCGAGAATTTTCTCATCCCTGACGTTTTCTTTGCCTCTTACTAGTCCTTCTCTCTCCTGCTATTTCCTTCTGAGTCCCTCCTGCTGACTGCTGGAGATATAGCATTTCACAATGGCCTGGAGACATCCAGGCAAACACCATAATGTTGTCCCCAACCACTTCTTTATCTCCCATCTCTAGCTGCCTACCCCAGTGTCCTTTTATATTCCATCCAACTTCAAATTTTACTCCTCTTATCATACTGACAAAGGAGGATTTTTAAAATATTTTACACTATCTATTGTACATTTCATGTACACTTAGTACATGAAATTAGATTCTATCTCTCTCTACTTCTAGATGATATTTCCAGGCACTTGTACTAAAATATAGAATCCAGCTGAAATACAAACACCAAAGCATTTAGAGAAATATTTACATTATTTCATAACCCAGGAATTTACAGATAAAATAAAGCACATTGCAAAAGCAACAAATACCCACAAAATACAAATGTATCATTCTTTCAGAAGTATTATTTAAGTCACAGCAACCTTATGGATTTTCCAGCAGAAGTTGTTCATTCTCTACTCGTGGCTGCCAGACTATAATTAGTACTTGACTTTTTGCTTTGCCAGCTTCCCTCTTCTCAGTGTTTTTCTTCTGGAGGAACAGTAGACTCAATGTGATTCTCAACAGCACTCAAATTAATAAAATAAATTCTTTTGATATTCGAGTTAAATACACACACACGCACACACACACACATGCACACACACGGACCCACAAAACCACCCCCTATTTGTTGCAGTTATTTCATGGAGAAAGCTTTATTTGTAGCCAATATACTTCTCACAGCTTCCTTAAAGGTTCACCCAACTTAAATCTATATCAAGTCCCAGTACAATTGTATTGGCAGAGGTACCATTAAGCAAGCTGGTGTTACTATAGTACAGGCTGGAACCACTTAGAGCTTGGTCCCTGTCTGAGTCAAAGGAGAGCTGTCCAACTGTGGTCATCTCATTGGCTGTTAGTCTTACATCAAATGGTCTATAGTTACTCTGGTCTAAATCAGGATTTCTCAACCTCAGCACTATTAACATTTTGTCCAGAGAATTCTCTGCTGTGGGGGCTGTTCTGTGCATTGTGGAATGTCTAATAGCATCCCTGGCTGCTTCCCACCAGATACCAATAGCACCACTGCTACCCCCAGTTGTGGCAATATAAAATGTCTGTAGAAATGGCTAAGTGTCCCCGAGGGAACAAAATCACCCCAGTGGATAAAAAAGAACAACTAGTTGAAATAAAGAACAATATTAAATACACTACTTTTTCTTAATTAAGTTTCAAGAGTTCCAAAACCAACATTATATTGTTAGTTTACTTCATTCTGCACATTTTGCTATATTATGAACCAGGCACATTTACTAAAAACTCGGAGATAAAAGTTTTTACTACCAAAGCAAATATACTCACTTATACATAGCAAAAAAAAAAAAAAAATGTTTTTCTTTCTTGCTTTTATTTTCTTGCTAGAAGAAAAAGATCTCTTTTTAAATAAAAAATGAGACTTATTTTCATTGAAAATTCCTTTTATTTTAACATAAATTAAAAGACATGATAGATCATCAGTCATTTAGAATAAAAGTGAAGGTCCACAATTACAGCTGTCAAAAATTCTCTTTGACATCATTTCATACACCCATTCTGGTGCAATTGGTACAGACAGAATAATGAAAGGGTAGCAGTAATCTTCACTTTTAAGCAGCTCAATCACATTTAACTTCTTATTGTGTCTATTATGTATATATAGGTCAGATGTAATGATTCTCCAAAATACCATGTGGGCAGATAACAAGACACGCCAAGTAAAAAGCTTGTCCGGGAATTATGGCATTCAATTCTGATTCCCTTAAATGGTGTTAATTTTCCTCAGACAACTATTTGAGTCAGAAAGAACAGTTCTACCAAACTATTTCAAGAATATATTCATCACAGGAATCTTCTCCTGGAGATAGCAAAGTGCTTCTCATTTTTCTGACTCCAAAACACAGCAGGTGGAATTAGGCAGTTCAGTCAGTGCAGCAGCGCACGGGGCACTGCAAACAGATTAGTGATGGTGTTTATCCCCAAGGTGGGTGCCGGAGCTAAATCCACAGTAATGTCTGAAAACTCCCAAGGTTAAATGGAGTCATGGAGTATTAAGAGTCTCGCCTAAAGTCATCAAACTATTTGGTAAAAGATGAGGGCGTTTGATGCCAGCATTGAGAGTTATAGAATTTTAGAGCTGGGAGGGATTTAACAATCATCTAATCAAATCTCATTTTACAGTTGAGGAAACTGAGGCCAAAAGAGATTAAATATCTTGCACTCCAAAATTCACAGAAGGTAGTGTCAGAACTGGGCAGGCAGCCCAGTTCTTGTGGATTTTAGCCAGATACCTTTTCCATAAGACCAAAGAGGATCTCCAAGGAACTGCTGCATATAAATAAGCTGTTTTATAACAATACTGTAGATGTCCTGGCCAAGCTTTCCCCTCTTTCTGTTCATCTGTTTGCATTAGGAGTAATAAAGCAATGACACAGAAGTGCTTTTATACCAAACAATTCAGTGAGGTGCTCTTAGACTATGGAAGACAGTCCTTGACCCTCCTCCATCAATCCTGATCACGTGGCAGATAGGAGAAGATGTTATAGACACATTTGCCTTGGAAAAAACTTGGAGGAAACAAACTGCTTTTCTTTTCCACCTATCTGTTCCTTCCTCTGTTACCTTGTCCCCTCCAAGAGTGCCCAAAGGTGTCAAAGAGAATATTCTCTCTTGGCTGTGACAGCATCCTCTAAGGGTTTCTTTATAAAGGCCTTTCATAGACCAATCCCTCTGCCCAGTGTCTTTCTTTATTTATTTCCTACTTGCCTTCATCAAATCTTATGTATCCTAAACTAACTGTCCTAGAAATTGGGGGGTAGGTAGAATCTTGTAGTATGCCTTTACATTTGCCACATAGGTGGCCCCCACTCAATGGGCTCTGAGGACAGATTCTGCCCACTCAGTTGGATGGATGGAGAATAGCATTCTGCTCTCCCTTCCAGATAGGTTTTCTGCCTACCTGGCAATAGTTGTAAACCCAAGTAAGTCCGCCCATCAGTGGAAATTGAAGTTCAGAAATCAGGACAGAGATAAGACCTGAGGCTATAGATTTAGGTTTAATTAAAAGTCAATTGATCATTAGGGATGAAGGTAGGTGAGGTCTTTGAAGGGAAAAATATAGAGAGAAAAGTAGAGGACTCAGACGAGACCATAGGTCACCCATCCACTTAGAATTGGGGAATAAATGACAGAAATTGACCAAAAAAAGTCAAATAAAGAACAATGACAGATAAAAGAGAAATAACTTTAGAGCTGAATTATGTTTTTGGTGAATTAGATAATTTCCTAGCTATTTTTTGAGAATGTGTCAGATTGGTGCAAATATGTCCTGTCTGCTCTGAGATATGTAGATTTATTTACTCCTTTCTGAAAACATACACTTTTTTTTTTTTCTAAAAGCAAAGATGGTTTCATGGTGGAAAAATTAGAGAAAATATTTGGAACGTGTGAATGTTTAGTTACCTTTTTCGTAAATGAAAAACATAAAAAAAACATAGGAAATTACATGTTAGTGAATTTTGAAAGTAGTTACTATAAAATTCCATAAGGACTTAAAAACTGAATGCTCATTTGCATTTGAGAACAAAGGAAGAAGTGCCAGAGCCAAATGGATTTTAAAAATCTCACATTCAATTCATCTTATTTTGCTTACTGAGATGATTATTTATTTTGGGGGTGGGGGGGTACTGGGAATTGAACTCAGGGGCACTCGATCACTGAGCCACATTCCCAGCCCTATTTTGTATTTTTTTTTTTTTAATTTAAAGACAAGGTCTCATTGAGTTGCTTAGCACCATGCCATTGCTGAGGCTGGCTTTGAATTCATAATCCTCCTGTCTCAGCCTCCTGAGCCACTGGAATTACAGGTGTGTGCCATCACATCTGGCTAAGACGATTATTTAATGGGTACTTCTAGGTTAGTGCCATACATATCATTTGCTGCAATTTTGGAAAGTCATTAGATAAACAGTCATGATAGCACTCTTGGTAAGTGGAGAAATAGGAGTTTGGTTGGTGATAGTTGAACTGGCAAGTTTATAAATTTCTATAGTTTCCAATATTCTTATCAATGATATTAATGGTCAGAGGAGATAGGAAATTTTAGTTGATTAAAAACTCACTGTGAATCAATGGTCCATGTGGTTCTGGTAAAAACATGAACTGATACAATCGCTTTAATAAAAATTTATCACAGAAATTGAGGAGGTGATGATTTCTCTGATTATTCCCCATCTGGAAAGTAAATATTGAGAGGGTAACATTCATTAATAAGTTGAAATGTTTCCAGAAAAATACTTGAGAAAGTAATAAGTCCTCTTGGTTTTAGTAGACATTATCTGGTAGCATTATTTTTCTGTGAAAAGAGCTTTTTCTATTAGGAATTATAAGAAGTAAAACAAAACAAACCCACTAATCTTTGGATTCCCTTAATGCATTGACACCAAATGAAAATAAGACAGGATTTGCGAATTTGGTAGCCAGTAAAAGCCAGATTGGAGGATGTGACTTGGACTTTTCAAACTTCACACATGTTTTAGATAGACCTGTCTACCCAGTCACTTTGGTGCACAGCTAGACAGCCACAGGCTTCTAGGGGTGTTCATGCCTTAGAGCCACCTGGAACATACCCATTTGGTGGAAGGCAAATCCCAGAGAGAGAACCTTAGCCAGAGATGAACATGATTGGTTCCTTCTTCCATGCTCCCAATGAGGGAAGTCATTCCTCCTGGGTAGAGATTGAGGAGGAGGAATGTGAGTGGCTTGGACTTTTAGTCAAGTTTCTTCCTTCAACTTATAAAATTTCAGACAGTTTCAAAGGATCATTGCTCTGCAGAGAGGCATAGGTTACGGGAAAAGGTGTTAAGGAATTAAGGCCTGAATGTCCCTGCTCTCCTGGGAAGAGCTTGAGCTCACAGGAGTCAGACCTCTCCAGTTACCAGATGATGAAAGTTCTGGGAAGAAGAAAAACTAGAGATATTTAGTACAAAGATAGAGGTTTAGAGGTTGCAGGACCAATTCTCCAAATAGTCAGAGACCTGTTGAAAAGGCTGCTGAGCTTCCCTCTTTGTAGGCTAAATCAGAATCCCTGGTAGAAACTGCAAGAAGGCAGGTCTTGGCAGAATATAGGAAGACAGTATTAAGTAAAGCACACAATTCTTAAAGACAGCAGCCTTTCAGAAAGTTTTCAAGGCTGGCAGACTGGTGTGAGGAGATTCTCAAACTGACGAGGCAGTTGGATCAAAGTCTCTATGAGAAGGAAAATAAACATTCTAATTTTAGGAAGAGATGAAGAGAGAATTCATGCTAAGCTATGGTAGGACAACTAAAAGAAGGAGAGATATTATTTACTGGATGTGTGTTTATTTAGTAATTTGAGGGTTTTTTTTTTTTGTGTGTGTGTGAGAGAGAGAGAGAAGGGGTTTATGTTACCCCATCTAGCCTCAAACTTGCAATCCCTGCCTAAGCCTCCTGGGTATCTGGGCTTCCAAAAGTGGGACACTGCACCTAGCAGTAATTTATATTTTCCTTTTCTTCAATAGGAGGGAATTTCAAAAACTTCTGGGTTTTATGAGTCTGATGTGTGTCCTACTGTGCTAACCAGGTTCTGAACTTCAGGGGTTTTAGAACCAGAATTTAGACTTCTACTCAATGACCAAAAGAAGGCACTTTCTGTAAACTGGGTATATGTTTTCTTTGAGGCAAGCTCATCTCTTGGAATGGTGGAAGGAGCGCTGCTTGGCTTCTACTCTCCAACTCCCAAACACATTTATTTTCTAAAAAATCATTTTATAAAATGGCAATGGCACGACTATGGGCTAAAATGAAAAGCACAAAGTCAAGGCAGGGGATGGATTTCTTATGTCCACATAGAAGCTACAGGAAAAACAGTAGTAAAGGTAAGAATACACCCCAAATCCTAAGGAGAAGCACTAAAAGTGTGTATAAAACAAGCAGACTGCGTAGATTAAATCAACTTTAGCTTCAATATTTTTTCCAGAAGGGACATTTGGGCCTCTCCTTAAAACCAGAGATAGATGTGGATTCTGGGAAGACAGACCAGGACAATTCAAGCAGGAGGGGTGCTGGAGGCAGTGCCAAGTGTCCCTCCTTATGTCTTGGCATGCCGTCTTGTGAAATGTGTGATGTGATTGCACGGCTAGTCTCCCCCTTGATCACTAATCGAGTCCCCAAGTGCAGTGACTGGATCTCTTTTTCCTTATCAGGTCACCCCTGCAATGCCTAGCATGGTCCCTAGTACATAGTAGGGCTTCAACAAATATTTCTCAATGTAAGAATAAAACCAGTCATTAAGAATGGCTTTCTCTGTATGAGGTACCGAGAGTAGCCAAAGTAGACAAAATCTTAGACAGAAAATAGAATCACAGCTGACAGAGTTTTGGGAGAAGGGAATAAGGATCTGCTACTATCTGCTAGGTGCTGAGTTTCAGTTTGGAAAGATGAATTACTTCTGGAGATGGATGGGGCTGTGGGTCACACAACAATATGAACACTGAAATGCGTGCATAAAAATGGCTAAAATGATAAATATAATGTTATGTTTAAAAACAAGGGATAGCTTTCTTTGAGAAAAAAGAGGGGTTATTGTGAGAGGGTCTGAGGGATCATGTAACAAGGTGAACTACACTTTAGGAACTATGTGTACACATGGGGTAGAGATAAACCAGACCAAAGCCAAATTTCCTGGTGGGGGAAGACTCCTCAGGTCACTGCTTGAAAGACATCGATCCAGTCCAACCCCTTCATTGCAGATGAAAACTGGCCTTCTCTCTTCTATTTCACAGGGCCTGTCACATTTTACACAGGGACTGGAGGTCAGTGTGATGATTCTTAGTCATGGGACGGGACTGTTTCCAGGGTAGGCAAAATAGTTTCAAGTTCCACGTTCCCTGTGCCAGCTCCCTGGGCTTTAACTCACTGGAGGTTTTTTTTTTTTTTTTTTAATGAGCCTCTTGCAAGTTGAGTTTCCCTCTGATTGAAATCTGGAAAAAGAAAAGTGCGTAACTAACAGTTTTGGTTTTCCTCTCTCCAAGGATCAGGCGCAGGTGGTAGATACTGAGGCCATTGTTGGAGCAGGAGAAGATAGACTTCCCCAGAACCTGAGGCCTCTGTCCTCTGCCGAAGAGAGCCGTGTCCAGGGCCTGCTTCTGCCTGAAGATATGCTGTCAGGAGAAGAATATGAGTGTGTCTCGCCTGATGACATCTCCTTGCCTCCACTCCCAGGAAGCCCCGAGTCCCCCCTTGCACCTTCAGACATGGAGGTAGAAGAGCCTCCCGGCTCCTCCCCCCTAATTCACATCAGCAGTTGCAGGATGCAGATGGGGACCAGTGGTCCTGGGGAGGCCCAGGAATCCACTCTTCCACCACCCGTTGCTTTTGCCGATGAGTGCAGTGAAAAGAGAGAAACATTTTCAAGTCATTTTGAGAGGCCTTACCCCCAATTCTTACTCACCTCCGGAGGATTTCTGGAAACAAGTTCTGCCTTATACAAAATCAGTGCTAAGCATCCGGAGAGCATGCCGAGTGAAGTGCATGAGAGAGCTTTACAGCAGCACCCTCAGGCTCAGGGAAGTTTGCTAGAAACGCAGGAGAAAATGCATGCTGATCATAACGTCACTAAAACCCGAGACAGGCTGCATGCTTCCCCTGATGCCCTCCAGGGCCTTGACTTTCCATCAGGCAGCAGCAGGGGCTCTCAGAGACAAAAAATGTTTCCCCAAGAAGAGATGAGCAGCACATCTGCCAAGAACAGCGTGGTCAGCCTCGCTGGCCAGGCACCAAATTTCTCCAGGCTCCTGTCCAATGTAACTGTTATGGAAGGTTCTCCAGTGACATTGGAAGTTGAAGTAACAGGATTTCCAGAGCCTACACTGACATGGTGGGTAGCCTATAATGATAAGCCATCAACAAACAAACCCAACCCCTGAGGGTGTTATTCTGTGTGTGCTAACCTAAAGGTTTAGGGCTTGCTGGCTAACGTTCTAGACACTGCCACTCTGCATGATCAGATCTCACATCTCACTTCCAGTGCTCATTTTAGTAGCAGCATGGTTAATACCCTTAAGGAAAAAACGTAACCCGATACAGTAATAATTTAACAAACTCCAAAAGCACTGCAAGTTGGTCGCATTTGTTTTTGTTTTCAGTTTAATGTTCCTCATCTGAAGATTGTGGGTTGAAATACTTTCCCTATTGTCTGTTTCTACATCAGCATGAGGTTTTCTTGGCTTAACACCCCTTATGCAATTAATATACATGAATCTAGGTGTTCTTCTTTCGTTTCACCTGTTCTCTCTTTCCAACAGTCACACACGCCTCCTTTGTAATATTTGTTTTACTAAGATTTCTTCTTATAAATTTCTTCAGTGTGAGAGGTGGAATAAGAGCATTTCTTTCACAGTTGCTCCAGGAGACAGCTAACAAACCTTTTTTGAGAGTTATCATAAAAGCTGAGCTGTGACCAATATCATTTCACTCTAGAGACATCATTATTTTTCAACCTATTTGTTTTAGAAAAAGTAAACTGTAGGTTTTAGGTTTTGAACCTCTATTGTCATTAACTGCAAATGCAGTTCTAATGTTCTCAGTATGGGGCTTACTTTTAAACCTTCAAAAAAAATTTCATCCTTAACTAGATTTATTTGAGGACAACATAAGTATGTGATAACAAGTTTCTACTAAGATAAGTAAGCTCGCTTTTATTTATCAATATATTTTAGTAGACATTAATAGTTTCGGTTAATGTGTGTGCCCATTGATAGTACATGAACTATGAACAAGGTACCCAAAGAACTTACAAAAAAACTTGGGTTTCTCAAGTTTGTAAGGAAAACCACAGTTGTGTGTAGTACAAACTTTGAATATTTTTTGGCTTTATTTTGTTAATTTTACATGTGCATGGGTTTTTTTTTAATAAGTCAAAAAATTTGTATTTTTGAATTTAGAAGATATTTAATTCATTATTAAATATCGATTCACCCCAAAGAAAAATGTTGTCTGAAGTCTTTCTTGTTTGGGTCTACATGAATAAACAACTTGGTTAGTATATATGGCTGAAGAACTACTGCAACATATATATTGTTGGAGAACCATTGCAAATGGTGGAAATATTTTGCCACCAGATTTACAAAACTTTTGTTCAGTGAACAACTGACAAGTTATCAGGGAGACATACATTTAGGATACTCAGAAAACTTCAAAACTCTCACTTAGGCAATGGAACAACAACAAAAAAATGATTCAGGTTAGTCATTAGTCCCTGTGGAGAAGAAAGTGGATATAAATAAATAATCAAGAACGCAGGATATACAAAATAAATTATTTGCATTATAGAAAGGTAAGTGCTCATGTTCATAGGAAACTTTTAGAAATATGTCATGAGCAGTCAAAATCCAATTACATAAATGCCTTTTATAATGAGAAGCCATCTTCTCCTAATGAAATTAATTTACAAAAATTAAATGAACTCATTTCGCCAGGAAATGATGTATAAGTCGCTTCCTCTACTGTGGCACATTTGTGCTGTTATGTGGATCTGATGATACAAATTGAGGGGGAAATGTGTCTCACTCCAACAGAGAATCCAAGGCAGCGTCACAGCTGCTGCTCTGTAGCTGCAGAAAGAGTGAAGCAGGTTGAATGTGAGGGTGTCATTTCACACTCTAGGTAATTATCACCATGAGCAAATGGTGACCCAGTGTGATCAGAGGGTCTGGTTTCTTTAAGAGTAGCTGGATATCTGAATTTTTACATGTAATATTCCAATTGTTCAATGTTTTCAAACTTAATATTTCAAACACATGATCTAAGCCAATCAGTGTAACTCTCTGACTTCCAGTTGCCAACCTCTGCTAGAAAGATAAACAGCCTCCCTGGAATATGTCATAGCTATGAAAGCTCCTGCTAATCCTACAGAGCACTGTAGAACTCCTGAGCTAATTTGCAATTTGTTAGAACTTGGGAATGATGTGAATGAACCGTGATCCTGACTTTAAAAACTGACTCTCTGCTTTAGGTACAAGAAGGGCCAGAAATTGTCTGCAGATGGGCACTTACAGGTTTTAAACAAGGAAACAAAGCATTCCGTGTTCATTCCGAAGGTATGCAAGGCAGATGCAGGCCTCTATGTGGCTCGGGCCCAAAACTCTAGTGGCACTGTCTCTTCCAATGTCGTCCTCCACGTAACAGGTAACCACAGGTCGCCAATCACAAGGATAAACTGGATAATGCTGTGTGTCATCTATGTCGGTGTATCCCTAATGTACTGGCTACTCACACAGTGACTGTGGTGTTGACATTGATGGACATCATTCTTATGAGCCTAAAGGACAATATGGTTGTTTATTTTCTGGCACTTCCTACAAACCACCCCCAACAAATGTACCTCCAGTGATGCCATCTTGTTTGTTGGACTCATAACCTCTACTATGTGAAATCATTGAATTTTCTTTACTATTTACTGTAGCTGAGGAGCTTGGTAAATCATGTGCAGTGGATAAGAATATATTTTTGTACTCTAGAAAGAAATGTGTTAAATATAATATGCAGCAAAATGAGACCCTGCTTATTCCCTCCCAATTTAAGGACATGCCAGTGAAGGCTCACTTAAGCATAGAAATGCTAGTTAATTTTCAAATCTAATCCGTTCAATAATTTATTTCTAATTGTACTCACAAACACCTCTTTGTAGGGCATGACAGTAGAAATAGTGAACCAAAGTTGTGATTTTTCCATCATGCATTGGCCGTCCCTCAATTTTATTTTTCATATCTTGATCTCATTTGCTGGTATCCATTCTATGTACTTTTTATATAGACCACATTCCTGAAGCTAGGTCACTATAAATAATCATTCCTCATGTTGATTTTATGGGTCTGACACTGGAGAATAAATGCACCATCAACTCCACACGGAGTTTCAATCTTCCATCAGCTCTTCATGTCATAGAGCAAGATGGAACACAGGCAGCAGGAATGGACCCACAACACACCTATCATTCCAGTGATATGTTTTGGGTATCCATGTAAACAAATGCAATCAAGTCCTCCTGCTTCTAATCTTGACACTGCTGCTGACCACTTTTATGGTCTATAGCAATGCACCTCATTGCTTCAGTTGCCCATTTGGAAAATGGGTTCTTCATCTCTACCTCTCAGGCCATTGAGGATTTTCATTTTGTGCTTTGTAAAGACCTAGAAAATAAAAAACAACTCTGTGAAGGCTGAAGGTTATTTTACTGTTTAATGAAATGTATCATCACACTGGCCTGCTACTCACTACTCTCTTTCTTTCGGATGCTGTTTTTTTAGAATATTAAATTAAAGGAGTGTTGTTAGTATGTAATTTCAAACTATTCCCATAGGGAAAAATGATAATTTATGAGTTGGAGCTTAAATTCCTTTCTAATTTTTTTTAAGATTACATTCCTTTCAAAGACTTGAAATTAAACTCAGGAGGATAGATTTAGCATGTTCTAGAGGGAAAGTGCATAATAAGATGGTATAAGATGAATTCTAGCCTTTTAAAAATAATTATCATTGTAATATGGAAGAATGTTCTATGCCTTTCTGAAATACATTATTCAGAAAAGAAGATGATCTTTTTGTTCTTTTAAAAAATAAGAGACATTTTGTTTTTATATTTTACACATAGTCTGTCACGCTAGGGCAAAATCTTTAGTTGAACGAATAATTCATTACAGATTTTCGATGAAGGAAAGGAATTAATTATATTTCTGGAAGACTGTCTCCAAATAATCAAAATATTTAAGTGTAATATATTCAGATTGGTATTAAAAAGTTACTGAATGTTATCTGATCATGTGAAATGTCTAGTCAAGTAAAAACTTGGCATGTTCTTTCTTGTGCTCCATATTCAATTTAATTAAAAAATTAAAACTCTTAATTTCCTTCCAAATTTGACAGAAACCTATTAAAATCTCATATGCACAGCATCCTGGGGAACTCATGGTCATTTAACTCTCCTATCATTTTTGTCCAACTTCAAATATTTTACATGTCTTACCCAGTCATCACGTGGAAGCTAAGGAGTAAAACCTATTCATGTCCAAAGAAGGCAATCAGGGAAAGGTAATACATTCTCTCTTCACAATTTTTCTTTCTTATTAATCTGGTAAGAGCTCCTTTCCAATTTTATTAACTTGGTTGGGGGAATTTGTGTTGGGGGATTTTTAAGGCATTGGAATTACAGTTTTGCAGTACCTGTTGCATTCCAGTCAATATAAATCTTTTGGGGAGCAGATTAGGATATATGTTCATCCATGACATATGACTAAATAAGGTATGTAAAATACCCCAATGTACACATATGTATGAACATATCAACTGAGCTCAAATATTAGGAAAACATACTGTGCTGATATTAAACATATAGTTTGAATAACTTTTTGTGTATCTACCTACCCTTTGGGTTACTCACACAGCAGTAAAAAAAAAAAAAAAAAAAAAAAGATAAGCCCTAAGGTTATTCTTCTGATTACATTTTAATTTGTAAACTCAAGTATGATTTTTCCTTTGTGCTAGGATTTTTATCTTGTTCAAAGAATTCTCCTTAAGAAAGTATGTACTAAAATTACTGGTTAAAAACGGAAGATCCAGGAAGTTCAAATAGTGTTTTCATTTTAAATTATGATTTATATCATCTCATTCTAGAGGAAATTATGAACAATCAGTAATATCAAAATATTTTCAATAAAAAGATTTAAAACATATGTACTTAATGGCTTGAAGTAGTGCAAAGAAAAAAAAAAGCACTTACTCAGCTTCCTATAAGGCAAAAATCATTTCTGGTTCTGATCCCCCCCCCCAAAAAAAAAGGATGTATAAACATGTGGTAGTAATAGTTTTCACACGAAATTCCAGGAAGAATTTACTATAGGAATCTTTAAAATTGGATTGTTGAATGTTTTATAATATCTAAAATATTTGAATAACAAGCAGAAAAATGATATAGCTCTTTTGCTCAATAATAATAGCTATCATTTATAAGACTTCAAATAGATTATTGCAAGTTTAAATTCCCTCAGGTAGTGTACCAGGACCTTCACTACCTATCCCTCCCTTCCCAGTCTCTATTCCATCCTCTTCCATGCGTATACTCTTATGAATTTGATATTTAACTTCAGGTATGTACTTATTATGTTCTTCTGCCCAACCCTTTTTTCCTGGAATTCCCCTACTATATTCTCCCCTGTCTTCCTGTGTCTCAACTCTTTCTTATCTTCTGGTTTCATTTGAGACAGAAAGCCTCTGACTTAACAAGTCCAGTGTGGATATTCCCACTCTGTGCATTATCAGCTCCTAGCCCGTACCACGTCCCTCAATACACAGCATCAAAATCACATGTCTGAGCATCTATCTCCTCCTGCTAGACTATGAGATCTTTTTCAGCAGAATCCATGACAACTCTGTTCATTATATTCCCAGCACCTAAGACAAAATCATGCTCAATAAATATTTCTGAGTTGATTGTTGTCAAAGGTAGACAAAAATAAACCTAGCTGTTTTTCTTTTTTTAAAAAACAAATATCTTTTAAGAAAGATTGGAGAAGGAAATGTTAAAAAGAAAGATGATTTTTCCTTTTTATGTACATGAGTTGGGGTCATGAATGAAGCATTCCCAATATACAAAACTTACACGTAAACCCTCCAAATCCTTTAGGCTAAACCATGATTAGAAATAAAAACTTAAAAATAGCTGATTTCTTGAATCAAAATAATAGTTAGGAGTGAAGAGGGAAGGCCCAGGATCATTGTTTCAACATTTTAAAGCAGATGTAATAAGGCATAAATCATCATCAGGAGTAAGGGACAGGATGGCATCTCCACTCTCTGTGACCAAACCCAAACAACCCAAACCAGAATTTGTGTACTTCTTTCGAACACTACAATTATCAATATTTAATTGCAGCTGGGGCTCAGTAATCTGGCTATGAACAAATCTTATTTTAAACTAGTGTATTGTAGATGCTTGTAAATATATACATTAAAAAAAATCCAAGACCTTAGAGTATTTGAATTCCAAATGACGGAAGGGAAGACTATTGGATCTTGTCCTGCTTTCTGTTTGTCTGTATTCATGACAATTTCTTACTAAAAATTGCCATCTGAAGCTTTTAACATTCCCGTTATACATACAGCATTTTAAGTGTGGCCATGAAATAAATTAGTTGAAACAAAATAAAATACCTCCTCCCTGTGCACTCTGATGTTGTGCATTTCAATGCAAATGCCAAAGCTTGACAGACTGTTTTCCATTTATAATAAGCAGAATCTTGAGCTGTACCAGAAAGCCAAAAGATTCACATTCACTAAATGAAACAGTGTCCTGCTTAAAGCAATATCACATCATTTTCTCTGCTCTCATCACAGGAGATGAGATTTAAACATTATCTGCTGCACACGAATTCAGTCTCCAAACAGAAAGCACAAAGCTGCTTTTGGTCTTTTTCTGTGAGTCTCCTCCACACCACCATTCTTGGGTTGGTGAGTTTATATACCATGGTGAACCACCCTAGCACCATGGTGAGGTTGAGTGTATGGTATTCCTCCCAGTGAACACATCTTGGTTTCAGAGTTTGAGTGCTGGATCCGCTGGCTCTTCTTTTTGTTCAACAGCAGTTTCATTTGCATAAACGAGCTCATGGCAAATCTGATTCTTTGGACTCTCCTTTTCTGTACCACAAAATTCACTCTATCCTCCTTAAGAGCAAGACAGCAGAGAGAATTATATAGATAAGCATTTTTTGTATGCATGTATTTCCAGTTACTACAATAAGAATTGGGTGAAATCAAAATACATTTTTAGCCATAGGGAGACGCTGGAAAACATTGGTTAAATCTGATGTTTTTTTAAAAACTAGAATAATGGTAGTTGCATAATTTGAAGTTTTCAGTTTGTATTCAGAGGACTCCCTGCTGTGGCTCTTTTCCCATTTAGAACCCACTTAAATATCAATACCTGCAAAATAACAGCTCCAGAACTAGGCAACAAAATGAAATAACCTTTTCCCTTTGTCATTCAACAACTTTATTTCCCCTAAGAACTGCATTGATCCCAACAACTATAGAATGGTTATTTTTATCTTATGTTAGCTTAAAAAATCATATAATAAAACCCTTTGAAAATAAAATTCAAAGGTTGAAATATACAGGAACATACTTTCTCCAGGGCAAATATTCCCTAACACACATTTTTCTAGGGTTGCCAGAGTCACCTCTTTTTTGTAGTGTTATGCTTACCCTCACACAGACAAGCTGTTGGCACATAGGGTCAGCTGGAAATGCAGACAGAGTAGGAAGAGCTCACCTGGCAGGATCAGAAAGGCAGAAATACCCATGGGCTCCAAGGTGTCCTCTGAGCAGCCCCTGCTAAGGACCCGGAGGCCTGCCTTTGATCCCCCTTAATGCAGCTCCAGAAGGGGCCTCTTAAAATGCATATTTATCCATTTCTATTACTCTTCAAGAACTAATAGAATTTCTTATCACATTCTGGTTATCAGATTACATGAGAGTACTTCTCTCTCCCCTGCAAAACAAAATAGAGCAACACAGTATATTCTAGTGAGAAAATGGAAGATATGAGAACCTGAAAGATTTGTATATTGAACTCCACTTCAGATGGTGGTTGGGAAATGCAGGACAAGAAGACCAAAGAACAGGATGAGGACACTAAGTGTCAGCTTGGGGTTTCATCTTTCCTCTGTGTGAATTTCCTACAGACTCCAGAAAAGTGTGTGAGGAGCTAGCTCTCTGAGAAGAAATCAGAGGCCACAATAAAATGGACCTGTAGGACAATTATTTTCCCTCCGTTAGGAAAATATTGAGACTGAATAGTGTCAGGGTGACTGGTGTCCTTATAAGAAAGCCATGACAGGCACAGAGACACAGCGGTGCCACACTAAGGGAAAAAAAAGTCATGTGACTACAGAGGCAAGGACTGGAGTTCTGTGGCTGTTCTAAGCCTGGAAACACCAAAGAATGAGACCACCAGAAGCTGACAGAAATAGGAAGGATTATCCCTGGAGACTTGAGAGGAGCATCGTCCTGCTGATTCACACTTTGTACTTTTGGATTTCTAGTCTTCATGAAAAATAAACTTTTGTTGTTTGTTTATGGTACTTTGTTACAGTAGCCTGAAGAAGAAGAAGAAGGAGAAGGAGAAGGAGAAGAAGGAGAAGGAGAAGAAGAAGAAGACCCTGTTTTAGAATAGTCATTATGAGTCTTTTTTGACAACAAAATTTCCAGAGATATTTATTAATGGACACCCATAGCTTCAAAATCAGCCCTCCCAGGATATGCTGGAATGTCTCAGTTCTCCTCTTGATTTGGGGGAGTGGTGGGTGTCACCTTTGTCCATTTCAATCAACAGCTATTCATCTCCTATGTGAATATCACCCACTATGTGTGCCATGGTGCTAGGAGCTTGAGAGACGCAAAAGGCCTTCAAGACATGGATCTGCTACTTGCTTGATTATGACACACATTCAAGACTCAGAAAGGAATAAAACAATACAATGTATGATCCAAGTAAGACAAAAGGGGAGGGCTCTGGAGTAGGCGAGAAGCAAAGGGAAGTTGCAGTTAGAAATACAACCAAGTAGGAATATACAGTGTAAGATACAGTGCAATACAGTATAAGAAAAGAGAGGAGAGAATTTTAAGAAATGAGATTACTTACAGACAAACATTAGGATATACATGACCTAAACTACTTTATCCATCTTACTTGCTCTAATTGACACTTAGAGAATATTCCATCCAACAACAGCAGAATATATACTCTTCTTATACTCCCATGGGAGCATTTACCAAAATAGACTGCATTCTTCACCAGAAATCTCATCTTTTTTTTAACAAATTTAAAAGAATAATAAAC